TTTATATGAACTTCAGGACTTTATTTAACATGCTTCGGATTGTCCGATTTGGGTCAAATATGCACCGTTTTGTTGTATGATTTGTTGACATTTTAAAGGTAACTTCAAAATACCTCTCTCATAGAAGTCCGGGTCTCTATTTGCAAAAAACTCTAGTAGTCGATTTTCACAATGCTCCCTAGATTCCAATTTTTTATCATTAAAGAAATTTTGCAATACAAGAAAAAGATGATAATCGCTTGATGCCAAGTCGGGACTGTATGGCGGATGCATTAAAACTTCCCAACCAAGCTCCCGAAGTTTCTGGCGAGTCACTGTAGATGTGTGTGGCCTAGCGTTGTCCTGGTGGAACACGACACCTCTCCTGTTGGCCAATTCTGGCCGTTTCTGGTCAATCGCTATCTTCAAACGGTCCAGTTGTTGACAGTAGAGATCAGAATTTAGCGTTTGGCCATATGGAAGCAACTCATAATAAATAATCCCCTTCCAGTCCCACCAAATGCATAGCAAAGCCTTCCTGGCCGTTTGAGATGCTTCACCGCTCTTTGACCACGATCGTTTTCGCACAGGGTTATCGTATGTGATCCATTTCTCATCTCCAGTCACCATTCGTTTAAGAAATGGGTCTATCTCATTCCGTTTGGCCAAGGCTTCGCAGATGGAAATTCGATCCATCATGTTTTTTTTCTGTTAATTGGTGTGGCACCCAAACATCGAGCTTCTTTTTGAATCCAGCTTTGTGTAAATGGTTTAATGGGTTCCTGGGCGATGTTACGACTGCTAACATGCCGGTCAACTTCGATCATTTCTCCGATTTTATCGACATTTTCGACGACCGGCCTACCTGTGCGAGGTGCATCTTTAACATCAAAAATTCCTGAACGGAATCTACGAAACCAAAATTACACATAAGTGGCTGTTACAGTATCGGAACCATAAACACCATTCACAATTTTAGCCGCCTGGCTTGCATTTTCGCCTTTGTCAAAGAAAAACTGTAAAATGTACCGAATTTTCTCTTTGTTCACTTCCATTTTTAACACGCTGTAACTCACAACTGAATGCACCAAACAAAAAACAGCAAAAGAATTTTTTTTACTGCGAAATGTCACCTTTCCAACGAGCATAAATATGAAATTGTTTGATCGATACTTTACGAGAAATCTATCAGTGCAGCCATCTACCGAAAAAATAATGGATTTCTTTTTCCCCAAACTAATATATCGGAATGATTTCTTATAAGTTTCTTTTATAAGTGCAAAAAAAAGAATTGAACAGAAGAAGCAATGTGAATAGCTTGTCTACATAATTTCTTAATCGACAGCACGACGTCCAAAAATCGAAAAATTATCTAGAAGTTTGGCAAAATACATTTATTATACTTCTGACCCACGTTAAGCTACTTGATCGGGATTGTGTACAATGTGCGATTTTACTGGCGAATTTGGTTTTCGAATAAATGCTTGTGAAATGCTTTTTGCTCATGTACAAATTCATAACTTATTAGCATGAATTTTTATATGCACAGCAAAAAACCGAAAGAATTATAAAATATTCAAAACATGAAGGAATGCATAACAACTGTTGATTTCACAGAATTATTGTGACCACAAAATGTGATTTAAAGAAAGGCTGATACTGTAGTCATACTAACACTATATATATGTGTCTAATATATACATATATACATATATATACATGGCTCACACTATGCATGTGAGGACATTAATGTTTAACTATGAGGGAAACTAACAGCAAACCATCACGAACACGGGCGCGAATGTTTGTATCCCTTCGAAGATTCAGCTTTTAATTGGGACTATGGATTTAAGAGAATAACTCTTCCTAACAAAAAATATGTGTTATAAATATAGCCAAAACAAGGAGCACGATTCTTGTGCATGCTTGCGTAAGGCTTGCTTGTATTGCCTAAGCGAAATCTTTTCGTATCGAAGTATATCGAAATAATATCTTCTAAAATATATATATTGTGTACTCTTGATCAGCGTATATAGCGGAATCGATTTAGAAATTTGATTTGCTTATTTCGTTATCTGATGAAATCCACCAACGAACGTTAAGACTTTCTCTTCACCTTAATTTCTTTTGTTAAATCAAGTTTTGGATGCTCGTCAAGAAAATTAAACTAAAGGTTTGATGACCTAAATATCATAAAGGACTCAGTAAATGAAGTTTAAAAATTATTAGCAATATCAAGAAAATGTAGACGAACATATAATTCATTTGAAATTTTGAATGTATTGAGTCATTGATCCACGTTTCGTCGTTAGATACGCTAAATGAATGCTGTTCTTTCAATTATATTATTAGAGAAGCAAACCACCTTTAAGCTGATAGCAACCAACACATTTTGCAAATATCTTTTGCCATATATGCTTGCATTATTGACTCATTTAAACCAAAAAGATAAATGTATTGATAAAATAAAGTAGTTCAGATAAATTATGCGAGACAGCGAACGAAAAGCCGTATGTCTGTTTGCTGTGTAAGAGCGTGCATAAAGCCGTTTTTATTCATTTTATCGCACTTATGACAAAGTTAATCAACAAACGAAAAAAAAAAAAAAAAAA